ACAATATATAAAATCCAAATACCACTCACTCACTGATCGCTGTAACTCAAAAACTACGTAACGTACAAACTTGAAATTTCGACTAAGAGGTTCATCTTATATTTTCACCGTGCAATAAGAAAGGATTTTCAAAAATGTTGCGTTTTAGTGGAGTAATTAACAATTATATTTATTCATCGCCAATACGTATTATGCTGCACGGCACGGGCTCATGTGGGCCCGTGCCCCCGTGGGTTTCTAAGCTACCTACAACCTATCCTTTTTGTCCGAAGGTGAACAATAAGAATTGTTCCGAGAAGTTTATTGATAAAAATAATCACATGCATTGCGCGTACACCAATATAATATACTTAATATATTAATAGAATATTATACTCGTATTATATAATAATCGTTGAATGATAAMAATAAATGCACACCGATAACATAAACCAATATACATGCAAATTGATAAAGAAGAAAAATTGTTCATTTGATTGGTTTAATCTCTGAAACTAATTAACAGATTTAAAATTTTTTTTACCATCAGAAAGCTACAAAATCCCATGAATGAATCTGTTGGCTATATTATATCTTGATTAATGATAAGTTGCACTTAATTGTTTAATGTAAATTTGAGATTTTTACAGAAATAATTGTAATATTAARTATATTTTTACACAATTTAGTATGGAAGAATAAGAAATACGCAATTTGTCATTAGGCRGCAATTTTAAAAATTGTTTCACTTATACAAAGCTAAAAATCCGATAAAATAATATTATTGAATATACTTTTAGTCCTGTATTTTAAATGACTGTGTTCAAATTCTTTAATGTAGATTAAGATAGGGTAAATCCACGAGAAGTTTTAATCATGATGACTTGGCCTGGTATAAACGACGAATTAATCATATAGAGTCGGTATTTTTAACGGGCAACGAAGTGCACGGGAATCAGCTAGTAATTTATAATTGCACGATTTAAGTATATGACCTAATATACCAGCTTTATAGGTATCAAAAAGTAAATATCAATGTAATGTATTGTTTTGTACAATAAAATCTGCAAATTATATATAAAATAGGTTGTTATTGATGAGTGTTTAAATATTAGAACGACATACCATTTAWTAAGGTATTTAAAATATTTTTATTTTTTTTCTGAAATGTGTGGAGGTGTTWTRTAAGGCAATTATATATTATGCAATGTTTTAAACGATGTGTATTACCAGTTATACAATTTTAATTATAAAACATATTTAACACAATGATGAAACCAAACATTTGGTTMATTTTATCGTAATATTCGTAATCAATTTACCTAATTAACAATATACGTCTTGTTCYYGTTTGGGAAAATGATAGGCACAAAGAATTTAAAAAATAGCCACTTATCCCCACTGCGTTTGAAATCTAATTAGTATGTGTTAGGATGTACAGATGAACATTGAACGTCGTCTTCGATTCATCTAGAAATTATTATAGGTAGGTATGTTGTATAATTGTATATTACTAATTGTTTGCTTGATACATGGTTATTATTATTATCTTGATGTGTAGAAAAAATTATTAAACGGYGCTTGAAGAAATATTCAAAGAAAACAAATTATTTTCGTCACACAACTATTACTATTATTGTTTGTACAGCAAAATTTCTAAATAACGGATACTCGCGGGAACATAAAAGTTATCCACTATTGAAAGGTGTCTGCATATTGTGTGTTCATATAATAATTGCGAATTATTAGTTATTATTAGGGAACGGATTTGAATGCAAATTGCATTTTTTTCTGAATGTCCGAAAACATTGATTTCCAAACACACRGTTCATTTCATACATGAAAGAATTAAAAAATGTAACTTTTATTTTGCATTTTTAAGACTTTAATGCATTTTTTGAAATTTTTAGTGCATTTTGTGGTTTTTAAGTAATTTTTTCAACATTTTTTCCACATTCATTCTAACAAAAAAAAATTAAAATACCTAAATATGWATTATGTTACGAAATTACGAAATTATTGTTGACACGTGTAGACACAAAATATATACATACAAGTTATAACAGATTATTACCCACATTAATGTAAAGATAAGGGATAAGATACGATAAACTATTTATCTAAAGTTAATTAATTAATGTTGTATTGTATTTAAATATTTTTTATTAGATTCTTCATAATAATGTGTTTTTTTATAAGTTTCAAATACTAATAAAAAAATTTTGTTTTTATTGAATATAAACCCATTTTTAAAGTTTTTTAGGGCATTTTTTTAGTGCATTTTTTGATGTTAAAGCATTTTTAAGGCATTTTTCTTGTTTTTTAGAGCATTTAAATCCGTTCCCTAGTTATTATATACTAYGGAGTTTTCATTTGTACGTATACGATGGTGTTTTTTGTTTCTTCATTATTATGGGAAGAATAAATACCGTGTGTGTTCGGTAATTATTCTCCGTTCATTTTAGTTTCTCGATGATTATATATTTATATAATAATATCCTATTACATACCGTCAATGAAAATTTTAAATTTTGAAATGTTAATTTGTTACTACTARATGTATAATAAATGTAGTTTTTTCGTCATGTTCAATAAAAATCCYTGGAGACATGATGTAAAATACTAAAATATCACAAAAAAATATGAACGGGATGAAAGCGATAAGTATTATTGGTTTGAAACAATAATAATAATTTATATTTTAATCAACACAAATTATACATAATATTTTGCCTTAATCGTAGGTATACATATACATATCGAGACCATTGAGTATTACAATATAGGTATTATAAGAATTTATGAATTTTATAATTATGTACAWAGTAYCTAATCATATATTGATCTTTGAACACGTACAAATAGGAATAATAGGATATAGRTTACAGATGGTAGGTAAATATTATAATTGCACATACAAAAGTTCATCATTTTCGAGGTCAATTGTGGTTTAGAATCACAATAATAATATAATATGATGCGTTTATAATATTAAAAATATTTGAAAATAAGTCTATATATATGATCACAAAGACGTTTTTTAAGATTGATACTTATTTTTGATAAAGGCTAGGTTTATTATGAATTTCACATTGCTTCGAATATTATATATTAAAATCTACTTACGTATTGCTTACGTAAATCATAAATACCACTGAACACCTAACTCAGATATCAAAATGGTAAAAAGCACGTCATATCTCAGCCAAAGCGATACAAAGTATTATAATGCTATTTTATATTACAATAGGCATTGCATCTTACAGTACATAAATAGATTTTAGTAAATAGTTTTACTCCGATTATAGACTGTGAGATACGGTAGGTAAACGGCATGCAATAATATACCCGAGCTGCGGTTTAGGTCCTCATCGGTGAGGGATGATGACACCGTTCTACAAGCTCGGYACTATAGCTACGCCAAAGATCGTGAAAATATTTTGACTGCTCGGATTTATCGTCATTCCGATCCACTGATCCACCCATCGACCAAAAAACGGTTRCAGATTTCTGCGCTCTTGTATAGTGGGTCGTCGTGTTGGGATGRTTTGCGAAATGTATAAATAATATTAAAAAGTCCGGCGGCGGATGTGGTTAACATTGTAGGTCACGTGGAACTAACGGATCAGTTCGAGGTGGATCTGTTCGCGGCTCTTGTTGTTGGTCTCGGGCACGTAGAACAGCACGAACAGGAGCCCGGCGGCCGAGAAAGCGGCGAACGAACACCACAACATCACGGGGTTTGCCTCGACGAAGATCTTGAACGTTTTCATGATGACGAACGACAGGGACCAGGAAAAGGATGCGGCAATGGATTGTATGCGACCTCCGTACAAGGCCGGTGACAGCTCGGTGCTTATGAACCACGGGATGGGTCCCAGGCCCAACCGGAAGGCGGATATGAACACGCATAGAATGAGCAGCAAGGACATCCTCCATGACGAGTCCACAAGCGTGTCTGCATACATAATAATAATAATCTAATTTGTATAAAGATCCTGAAGGCACTATTTATGATTTTTATTTTCACGATATTAATCACAACACACGTGTAGCATGTAAGTATAAACGTTTTTAATGGAAATTATAAGCTGATTTTACCATATTTCAAAAAAAC